AAAGTTCATTAACAAAGGAATAATCGTCATTATTAATCGTGATAAAAATTTTGAGCAAAATAATCGTGATAATCGTTTTTTCTGTTATCGTGCAGCCCTAATTCAGTGCGACAGTAATAATCCTCCGTGTGAAACACGGTGATCACTGGGCAGTACATAGTCGAGTGGGTTAAATGAAGCATTGAAGCAAGGAGTTTGCATCAAGGATTTTTTGTAATCGCGTTATTCGAATCCTTGCAGCTCTAGCTGGTTCAGTAATAAAATTCACTAACTCACAATGTACAATGTGATTTTCAAGCATAAAGAGCTCTAAGGCATCATATCTTACAATAACACATTACCATGTAAAATAGTTATTTAGTTAATTTCCATAAACTCAATTTACTCATTTAGAGAACTACACGGTAACACGGTCTATACATAGACAATCCCTACCAAAACTATCCAAAACCTTTCTTTCACGTCGTCATGTTTTTTAAGTCTACTTTGGTGATGCATTAATTCTAGTTTATTTTCAGTTTCTTTTCGATCTAGCTTGCCAGTGACTCAACTAATTCTTCATTCTGGATAATTAATTTTTTTAAAAAGAAACAGCACAGCACTGCGGTATAATTCTGCACCGCTTTTAATCTCTTGCAATGTCAGTAGCAGCACCTCTAACGTCTCCATAATTTCCAAGCTACCACTGCCCCCAGCACTGCCCCTATTACTCCTCCCCCAACAGCTCCCATCGGCCCCAGTACTGCCCCTTCGAGTACCCTTACAGCTAGGCCTTTATTCACTACTGCTGCATTATCCATAGCCTGAGCGGCAAATCTGCGTTCATGAATGATCATTTCAGCCTCTTCTCCGTCAGCCCTGACACTCTTCAGATACTGGTCTCTCTCCCTCTCCTCTCCCTGGTACATGCAGTGCAGCTTACGAAGCCATTTATCTATCTTTTTCACTCTATCCGTCTCAATAACTGGTTGCTCTTTTCTAATGCTATCTTCTGTCACCTCGTAATTGTTATCAGTAAAGTATCTGTCCCCATTCTCAGCCACCAAACCCTCAATTCTCTCCAGCAAAGGCTTAGCTTCCATAGAATTCTTATTAAACAGATGATACTGGTGTCCACACTTGTCCAAAATCTCTCTGAAGTTTCTATCTTTCCGGAGTCTATCCTCCAAGCTTGAATCTTCTTCCTTACCCTCATGGCACAGAAGAAGAATTGTGTACTTTAAGATGTCGTCACCAAAGTACTTGGTAAGGTCTTCCACAATACGGACACCAGTTGCTGAGATGTCCTCCAAGTCCAGGATTAATAGGACAGCATGGGGTCCAGGGCAAGACAGACACACATATCCCTCCAGCTCCTTCCTGATATGTTGCTGTGTAAGGTCCTTCTCAAAGAAGTTTGGTGTGATCACTGATACTTTTCTGCCCTCTGTCTCCTCGTGATTCTTCAAACCCTGTGAAAGGCTACATTCAGCTGGCATGAACACCTGCCGTCCCAGGATACAGCTTGAGACGATGGTCTGTAAGGGCGTTCTGCTACTAAACAGCACGATCCTCAACTCCGCAGACACTGTGGAATAACAAAAATGTTACTTTAATAATGCCAATCAGACCACTTCTCTTCGTGAGGGGGCTGTAAGACATGCTTTAGATATAAAACAAATGAAAAATAATTAGAGATGGGCGATCCACGTTTTTTCAGTTCCGATCCGATTTCGATACACAACTGCCGATAC